AAGATTTGCCTTAAAATGTCATCTCCTGTATCGATTAACTTTTATGTTAGCTATAATACTATATACTTTTATGTTAGCTATAATAGAATACGATTCCTGTTTTATACCATGGGAGCATTTAATCGGGATAAAAAGTCTTCCTATCACCTAAGTCAGCCTGCCTATTTACCAAATTTCATTAAAAACCGTTCAGTAGTTTTAGCATGTTTGACGTACAAACATCCGAACAATGAAACTTTCACTTTCTTTTATAATATTAGTGTGAAGTACTTACCTAAGTACATTTTTTTTCATCTATTATTTTACTATTGTAAAACTAGAAAAAAATACAGAAACACTGAAAAGCCGACACTTTACGAGCGATATTCGTTTTATTAGAGTCGTAAACTTTGCTACTCTCAGTTTAAAAGTTGATAAATTGTCACGTGAGTGACATGAGTATTGAGCTCTGAGTCAGATGTGAGAACTTACTAACTCTATTCTGAAAAAGTAAATTCAAAAGTAATTCTTAAAAACACTTAGCTTCTCAAAAACACTCACTCTGAGTCAGATATGAGTTCTCACTAACTCTATGTTGGAAAGTTAGAAATGTAAAACTTAGTATACACTATTTTTCATTTAATTGTCATGACTTTCTTTATTCAGTTTTTGTTTGTGGTGCCCTTTCTTAATCGTACATATACAAAATTATACATATATTTACATTGTACGTATCTACGAGACTTCCTATATCGTTGTGCCTGTTCCCATGATTAATATTATGTCGTGGTAGCCCGGAGGTTTAAGACGCCCGTTTCTCATGCATGAGAGTGCGGGTTCGAAACCTACCAACGGCAAGTACCAATGTCACTTTTCCAAGTTATATGTACTTTCTAAGATTATTTAGACACAACTGACAAACGGTGAAGGAAAACCTCGTGAGGAAACCTAGGCTTATAATTTCTAATTATAAGTTTGTAATCACCAACCCGCATTGAGCAAGCGTGGTGATTAGTGCTCAAACCTTCTCCGTATGAGAAGAGACTTTGCTCAGCAGTGGGCAATTATAGGCTGTTGTTGATGATGATGATATTGTACCAAAAATCGATATTTTAGTATTTGTTTCGAATCCTATGATTAGTGGTCAAGTAAGTTACGAGCGCGTTCATTGTTTAATTGGATTTTTCTCTTTACTTCTTATTTCTAAGATCAAGTTAAGTAATTTAGACAATATTAAAAGTTCTTTAAATAGGTAAGCAAACTAGCGCCATGGTGAAGTAGTGGCTATACGCATTTATATTCATTTCTAACGAATCTTTTGGGGGGAATACCATCGCGCAGTGGAAATACTAGGAATTTAATTCCTGTTTATCTTTAAAACTTATTTCCCCATTGATTTCAAACTACTAAGCATAACGGTTTACTCACGTAAATATACCGAGAAATACTCTACTACTTTCGAGTCACAGAGGGACTTTTCCCCACGAGCAGTATGCGCAATCGCGGCCACGCGCCAGTAAAGTATTTCTCAGTATATTTACGTGAGGAAATAATTTTTATTTCATTCAGTATCTATAACGATTGTTATTATAAAAATATTATAATTTATATTGTGTGTAATATATAACTGCTAATGTTATTATGTATTGGCTAGGTGCCAAGTGCATTTTTCTAATGTCATGAATACTTCAGATTCAAAGTATATGTACCACTGTAAATTGAATCATACATAAATAAATGATTTTCATAATGATGTGGGAATAGAACTACACGTTAAATTACACACCCATCGTTCCGCAATAATCGCTGTTTGTAAACGACCATTTATGATGAATTCGTAAAGAATACAAGAATACCGGCTTTCAAACTGCATTATCGTTTACTATTTGTTACTTGGAACCTAGCTGCGTAGGAGCACGATCGGTATGCAAATTATTTGAGGTGTCTTCTTTGTGATTTAGTTTTTTTATTTTAAGAATAAAAATAAGAATAAGGACCTTTATTTGCAAGAAGTATGGTCATTCATTACAGATGATAGTAATTATAAAAAATAGTCCCACATAAATCGCCTACTGTTTTTGGCATTAAAAGGAAACCATGACAAACTCAGGGATACAAACCAACTGTCCTGGATTCCTCGTGAGGGGGGATTGCCTCATTTAGTCTATGACGCGGGACTCACAATATTAGTAACCAAAAGTGGGAGTTACATTCTATATTTGCACCACTGAGATATTAAGAGGAACCACGTTATGTTATGTGTATGTAGGGTTAGATCTTGCAACGCTATATATCCCAGAATAGAAAGTAACAAAGCAATGATATTAGCCAAGAAGAAAATAATGTAGAAAGTCATGTAATCTTTTTTCTCGAAACTATTTTTATTATTTATTATTTCATGTACCTACACCACACAGACAATATTATAAAGGACGACACATTACAAGCATGAGGTACATAGGTCTATATACGATACTAATTACCTCTTCCCGTCTTGAAGAAAGTTAAACAAATATTTGGGTCATTGCAAACTTTTATTTAGCATCGCTTGTTAGTAGGTTAAGGTTGGCTTGTCCAATCTAATTTTGCAAAACTTTCTCTTGATCAAGCTAATTTAAACTTTGTCGATGATGTGCCTCGCTCTCTGATTTTATCTGCTTCATTCTTTAGATGGGTGCTTGTCTATAGATGACCAGATAATGTCAAGCATTTCCGCCGAAAACCATATTCATAAGTTTGAAATTAAAAAGGAAATCTGGTCAAGTGATGTTAAGGTTTAATTTAGAAATCTGGGAGAAGAGACAGAGGATTTCAATTATGAACATCACGACCTCATCGTCGCTGTTTCTAGATGAGTAGTCAGAGAAATTAAGTGCAACGTAACTATATACATATTGTATAGTAAATTACAGATTCAATAATATCTTTAAAAAAGTTGCTCGTTTCGGTAACCTCTTGCTGGGTAGTCGCGCTTTTGACAAACGATTGATCGATATCGATTAAGATAAATTCTTGAAAAGTGTCTGTTTCTGCGTAAAAAACAAATCTGATTTACAACAACGTAATGCCTATAGAAAGATTTATAAGATTACATAGGTAGTCGAAATATAATGCGGGTCTTCACTATGTAAACAAAATCAGGAAAGTCCAATTTTCAAGCTGGTTTGATCACAGAGTTCAAGAGGAATGGAAATCATTTGAACGATTTGTCGCTCAAAACGAATTTTGTTGAAAGGTTCGCGCAATCTATCTCCGGGATTGGATAAGTATTAGTTCAAGATTTCGATTCACACGCACTTCAAACTCGCCTTTCAGGAAGATTGAGTGGACGTTTACTTGTTTTTTATTTCTTTAAATTAATTGATACGGAGAATTAGTAAGTAAGTATGTTTTTGTAAGTGTAACTGACGTGCCACACAACAAACGCACGGAATCATCATCAAATTATCTGTTAATTACGTTGACAAACATTTAATCAGACAATAGAAGCCTTTAGTATTATGTATATGCTACCTTGTCTATAATATCGGATATCCTTATATTATGTTTAAAAAATATCTCCTTGTTATTTATTAGTATCTTAAACATCCCCACAGACATTCGTCAGACGGTATTTCACGTACGTTCCTATTAAATAAACAAGTTAACTATAGTATAAAACAGGTTGACATGTCATAATACGCGAGGCTGAAATTTTTTCAATTAGGCGCTTAAGTTGGTACTTGTAACAAGTAAATTATGTAAAGATGTAGATGTAGGAAATGCATTAAATGCAATTAGACACAGAGCGTGCATGACTCCATAAATATACAATATTTACATAATATACATTATTACAAACATGTTATACAAAGTGGTAAGACAAATCTTAATTCAAACTCACACATATCCAATTTCGGCAACTTCATTTTTCTGGAAATTTTTCGGGATTCAAGTGCCGGTAATAAGTGGCGGCGTGTCAAGATACCACACTAATAAAAACGTTTGCAAGGAGTTCGCATTACGTTGTTTTTGAACGATGAAGAATGTATACGATTCGTAGGTATATCGCGATGTTTTTAAAAGGAAAACAGTGCATTGATATGTGCGACTGTGCGCATGTACGGGTTAGCACTGCGGAGCCGAGTCGGAGCCGAGCGGCAAGTAGCGCGGCCGGGAGCCACGGCGTCAATATTAGTAATAACACCGTCCTCACACGATCTACATTAGAATTAATTCGTCCGATAAGTGTGGGCCTTCTCTGCCATCGACAATCACGCCGGATCAATGCCACTACACGCCTCACCACTATCGACGTGACGATTAATAGTCGCATACGACACTTAATGCGAACAAATGGGTTCCTAATTTAAGACAATTGGTCAGCCTGCGAAACTATTCGTTGACCTATAATGATGAAATTTTTAATTTATTACCTTTGAACGCGAAGGATGGGTTAACAATACGCTTTAAATATAGCTTATGACCGCGACTTTGTACGCGCAATCCCGGTTTTCCCGTTCCCATGGGATTTTTGTAAAATCCTTGAATATTAAGTGATCTACGTCGGTCTTCTGGATCTAATCTACCTCCCCACCAATTATCAGCCAATTCGATTTAGTTATTCTTGAGTTATTAATAGTGTAACTAATACGAATTTCTTTTATGAACGTAATGTATACCTATATGTATAGATTCATGCAACTTACCCCGAAACAATAAATACTTATGAAATTGATAAAAAATGTTCACACACATTATTACATTTTTAATTAGCGGCATCATTACAATATCAGGATTAAATTATTCACAACACTATGTGCAATTCGTAAGAGAGTTAAAACAAATCTACACGAATAATTGCATAAACCGGTAAATATTTTTTCTAACAGCGTAATAAAATAACACAAGTACTCAATAAGTAATCACATAAAACGTATGAATCGATCATATTTTTCACGACAATAAAATGGTGCTAAAGTGATATACCCAACGACATGCAATTACTTGGCAAAAATTAAGAAAAGTTTTATCAAACTTACCTGAATCCACGTTCTTTTTCATAGGCATTATGGCAACATTTTTACACATTTTTATAACTAATATTATTATGCACTTCAATAAACTAATGTATAATAATTTAAAATAATATTTTTGATACAAACTTTGGGCTAGTTATCGTAATTTAATAAGATGAGTGTTTTGTTATTTAGTGTGGTGTATTATGCTTAGGTGCGTGTGGTCTGCGGCGCGCGTAGCCGCGACTGCAGCGTGCATGTGTTCGCCGTGGCGGGCACGAGCATGCGCTGTCGGAGCCTCGGAGTCGCGCAACGCTCGCACCATCTCACCGGCCGGCTTACACATCGCCACACCGGCCTCCGCTTCATAAACATGGTATGTAAATACCGGAAAAAATATGTTAAGGCGTTTCGAAATAGTTACTCAAATCTTTAAATGTCAAATTTGCGAACAGTTTAGTAACATACGAATATTAACCTTGAAATAGATCTCAGTAATAAATAAATTGTTTTGAGAAAGGTAGTGATCATAGTTAAACTTGAATATCCATCAATGTCATGTTTGTTAGGAGGCGGTGTGTAGTGAGTCACTGGGTTTGCGAGGACCACGTGTCTTTACCTGTGCAGGGTGCACGGTGGGCCCCTTTGCAACTGTATTTTGTTTAATAATTCACTGACCGTTACAAATTCAACGAGCCGATGACGGCCATCTGCGTATTGACGTCCATTCAATTTTATAACAGAACCTTATCTTAGAAAAGAATGGCGTTGGTTATACAACCGATTACATCGCAGATTAGACGGTTTATGTTAATCTTAACATACACGAGCGGAACTTTATTTTTTCTTTTATTCTTTTATAACGGAGATCTAACTACCAATCTATATCTGTGTAACAAATGGTAACCTATGCAATTACATTTAAAATACATAGTCATACAATACAATAAAGGGATTTCTAAAAATGTCACGGGTTTTAATTGCTAGTAAGTGGATACATTTTTATACAATATCTACGTATTTAAGTGTTACATCACATATTTATTTACCACGATACATTCACGACTGTTGTTTACTACACTAATGCTCGTTGTCATCAGTAAAAGCTTAGGGGTTTCTTTAGGACGACATTTTGGTTTTCACTAACCTACAAAAGACCCCTGACAGTAGGTGCAGGTAAGGGGTCAGTTTATGTGTTCCTCTTAGTTCAAGTAATACAAGTGAATTTACTTCTGCAAATATGCTATAGGCACTTTTACACGTCAATTTTTTAAGCGAACGATGAGGTCGATATTTCTTAACTGATTACTCTGAGAAGAAATGGCGAATCCAGAAAATATGTAAGATAAAAGATTGTTTTTTTTTTTATACCACGACGGTGGCAAAAAAGCACACGGCCCACCTGATGGTAAGCGGTTACCGTGGCCTATGTACGCCTGCAACACTTGGGGCATTACATGCGTCTTGCCGACCCTTAAAAAACCTATTCACCGCCCTCTTGAAGAACCTCATGTTGTAGCCCACTGGGAAAACCACGGCAGGGAGCTCATTCCACAATCGGAGGGTCCGTGGGAGAAAATTCCTCTGAAACCGAACTGTACGGGACCATTTTGGCTCCAATGAGTGAGCGTGAACCCCCTGCCGATGGCGAGCGGTGCGATGATAAAAAGTGGCCGTGGGCATCATATCAAATAATTCTGCAGAACATAACCCATTATACAAGCGGTAGAACACGCACAAGGAGGCAAAATCTCTCCTTAGACTTAAGTGCTCGATACCGCTCGTAAGTATAGGATCGTCAACAAGTCTGACAGCTCTCCTTTGGACCGCGTCAAAAGGTCCAAGCTGGTATGCTGGCGCTCCTGCCCAGAGATGAGAGCAGTACTCCATATGGGGGCGAACTTGCGATTTATATAAAAGCAGTCTTTGTCCCGGCGTGAAGTACCGCTTCGCTCTGTTCAGTACACCGAGTTTTTTAGATGCCAGCTTGGCCTTATCTTCTAAGTGACTACGGAACTGGACGTCACTAGATATGTCGACACCAAGGATACCTATACTTTTGGAGATGTTAAGGGTAGTGTCTTGGAATTTAGGGGCCACAACGAATGGGGTTTTTTACTTAATACTTACTAACTTACACAACGAATTGTGTTTAAGTACAAGTTTATTCTGTAGTGGCCTTTGAGTACAGAACTACAACAGCTTGAATGGACGCGTTCTGATTGCAGTACGCATGTAACAGTTTACAATCAGCTCAATTAAGTGAGCCTGACTGATCTGACAAACAATACCAAGCATAAAATTATGCGTCATATGTATATAATTATATTATATTATTACTAACCAACGAGAAATTACGATTATTTACAGATTTTAGGTTTAGGTTTCCTAAACCTTTTATTTTCCATCATCATCTATTCTTGTGCTCGCTGTAACTTTATATTAGCATTTTTTTTTTATATATAGGTATAAATATTAAAAAATTTTCAGTAATAGCACGGAGTTTGGAATTGTACCTGGTATATCGTTGTTCAAAACATTGTTTTCCATAATAGAAAAATATCACGTAAATCATATATACATCTAAATAAGTAATTATGTAACTACTAACTATTCAAAACCAATAAAAATAATCTTACTGCCTTTCGGTTCCACCTACTTTCCGAGTGTGATTCCCGGGTCGGGAAAAGTATTACTGGGTTTTAAAATAAAAATTCAGTAGTTGCACGGAGTCTGGAATTGTACCCGGTATATCGCAATAGGCTCATAACACAAATAGTGAAAAGTGGGTGTTACATTGCACAGTGGGATTAAGTTCCGTAATGTGCACCTCTGCCTACCCCTTCGGGGATGACAGGCATGATTTTACGTTATGTTATATTATATTACTTTTGAAGAAATAAACGGCGTCATAATATGTGTATATTTGGTATAAAAGTATGCTACTATCATAAATGCAACATTAACTTTTTGTACAATGACAAGTATCATGATAGTAAATCGTCACTTGGAGTTTTCGAAAACCGAAGTAAACACTGAGCTACAGATTAGAATCCAATTCTAGACCTCTAGCTTCCCAATCGACCATCGAGGCATTAACGTCTTGACTGCCGGTATATAAGACACAATAGAAAATTCATTGTGTCTCGCGTAGATCTACGTTACGGCACACGACGGGTTAAAAGAAAAGGCTTTAAGGGAAAGGCTTTAAATGAGAAAGTTTATTAGTTTGTGTGTATGTTTGTTACTCAATCTGTCAAAACGGCTGAAGGGATCGAATTCAAATTTGGAACAGGGGTAGATTAAGGTCTTGAAAAACATATAAGCTACTTTTTGTCCCACGGGAACAGCCGAAGCCGGTGGCAGACGCTAGTAGAAATATATAAGTAAGGCTAGCTATATCAAAAGCCCGCATCTAGTTAGAGGAAAAAATTCAAGAAAATATATAGAGGTACTTTATCCAATCTTCGAAGGAATCTTTATAAGAAGAAATATAAAAGCGGAGTGCGAATCTAATAAAGTCCTTGGCGAAGGGCTGTTCTGGCTATTTTCCAAGGATTCTGCTTTATTTATGCGACGAATTTGACTATGGAGAGGGATATAATGACGTCACAATCTCTGATTGTAATATTTACATACATAATCTTACGCCTGTCTCCCATGGGGTAGCCAGAAACTATGGAACGCCAATTGCTACGATTGTTATATACCTCTTTCACTTCATCAACAGTCATCAGTCTTTTCATGCATGGTCGTCGGTTCAGGGTACTTTTAATTTGGCCCTTCTTTAATATGTATATTGCCAATCTGGTCCACATATATCCGTCTAGGGCGCCCTCTGCCGACGGCCCGATTCAAATCCGCTCTGTATACTTCTTTTGTTACTCTTCTTTTATCCATCCTTTCTACATGTTCTTTTAGAAGTAAGTCCGTAATAGTAAGAAAACTGAAACCGAAACCGAACATTGCAAACAGCTAGGCATTTCGTATCGATTTATCGATTCGAGATATATTACTACGAAGAATGTAGTGTTTTCGTCGTCTATCATGTTATGCCATGAGGGTTCAAAGTGATGGGCTCTTTACAAAGCATACATAAAAGATCTGATCTCATTATATCACTAATTGAAATAATGGAGATCATTAACGGTTTGCAAATAACAGTAATAGCGTAAATGCGGTAACAGTCCGTGAACTCTGGGCCTCTATTACATAAGATAACTTATAATTTAAAAGGTTTTACGGTTATAGTGATAGTATTAACAATTTTGAAAAGAAAAATCTATTGTTACACATCCATAAACAGAACATAAAGGACAGGACATACAATCGATGAATACACCTCGGGGGCTACCAAGCGAAAATCAAAAGCCTGGCCCCCTACAAAGCGTCCCTTTACGATATTAAATTACCAGCTTTCCATACCTTACAGAGAGCACTTCAGCTGAAGGGTATCGTTGAAAGTGTACCTGAAACACTTGTTATGAATATAAAAGACGGGCTTATCTTCTCATTTTTATTTTTTCGTCATGTACTTTTATATATATATATATAACTAGCGGCCCGTCCCGGCTTCGCACGGGGGACTTAAGATTTTTTACATAGTTTTACGTTTTATTTATATTTATTCTCAGTTTATTATTTTTGAAATAGTAGGTAAGTACTTACCTAATAGGTATCTTTTGGATGAATTAATAGTCTTAAGGTAACCGATTGAACAATTCAAAAGTTATCTAGAGCAAACTTTTATAAGGATTGAACCATTCATTAAAACGATTGTTATGGGTAAACTATAAAAGGTAGACATATGCTCTCGCGGACTTTTTTAAAAATAATGTTAAGATGAACAATTCATCTATAGAGCATTTTTGTATAACTTTAACTATATGCTCAGCGCACGCCACGGAAGGCCTCAGAAACGATACTTTTCCCCCGTTTTTAAAACATTTTTGGTTACTGCTCCACAACTATAGGACCTAGCGTGATATTATATATGTTACTTCTAAATCATGCAGCTTTCTAATGGTGAAAAAATTATTGCAATCGGTCCAGTAGTTTTTGAGTTTATTCATTACAAACATACAAAAATACAAAAATACAAATCTTTCCTCTTTATAATATTAGTATAGATTGAAGGTGATTTTTTGTATGTATGATAATACACTCACCCACGTACATTCTCGAACGCACGTATCCATTCATAATAAATAATTGTAGTACAACTACCATGACGGATGCAAAATAAATTGCACCTCTCGGACAAATATGTTACAAACCGAATTAAAAACTAAT